AGTCAGCGAGTGGCAGGGCGCCATCCATATGCGTTCCCGAGCAATCAGAAAAATCGTGGAGGGGGGGGGGGCCATAATGGCCCCCGGCCTTATTAGGGTTAAACAATTTTTGAATAATACCAATAAATAGAGAGAGAGAGAGAGAGAGAGAAAGAGAGAGAGAGAGGAAGAGAGAGAGAGAGGGGTGAGTGAGCAGAAGGGAGAAGGGAGGGAAAAAGGGAGGGAAAAAGAGAGGGAGGATAAAGCGAAAGAAAGTGAAGAGAAAGTGCATGAGACAGAGAGAGAGAGAGAGAGAGAGAGAAAGAGAGAGAGAGAGAGAGAGAGAGGGGGGCAGAGAGAAAAGGGGAGGGGGAGAGAAGAAAAAAAAAATGAAAGGAATAAACAGCTTGACAACTCGAATTAAAGAAACAATTGAAACCAAAATAACACCCAAATACTCGTCTTGTTTTGATAAATTTTCGTTTTTAATTTAGCTTTCTTTTTATAATTACATATCAATAAAGGCTACATAATATCACCAGCTACTACACACATAATATTTCATGACAAATACTTAATAAACAAGATAATACCTTCAGTTGTGATCAGTGAGGAGGGTGACCAAGTTCCTACATTAAATGACAACAAATCAGACTAATGGTAATTCTAAAATTAAAGACATGTTCACATATATGCCGAGGCAACTGCTGTTTTGTTTTAGAGAACCGATCACCAACAAATATTTTGTTCTGTATGTTTGAGGGTCCATATTGTCATACCAAATTCATAATATGAGCTCCAAATATTTCTTATGAGAAGAAAAAGAAAATGGCAGCGGTTAACGCGGCATATGCGAACACGCCTTAATGATTGTCATTTCGGCTAAATTAGGAATTTTATTGCACAAAGCTGTGTAGGGCCTTAAGATAAATCACAGTGAAAGTCAAAGTCAAATTCATTGAATTTTAAAAGAAAATATTTTGGTTGCTTGTTGAAACCATGGACAAAATTTCCTTTTCATAAGATATTTTTCTTTCGATTGAAAATGTATTTCAAATGGCCCCAAAGCATAGCTTCTAATTTATGTATTGAATTGGACTTATACATTCTATTTTTCTGTTTCTAAGATTCCATGACCAAATGTTGGATAAAATAGAACCAAACCTGCAAGCTCTAATGATTTTTCTTAAAAAGCAAATAAAAAATGATATTATGGGGGTAAAATGACAAAACAACTCCAGTAAAATCATGATTTTTGAAAATACAAACCCTCCAGAATTAGATTTAAAAGGATTGTGTTCCACCCTCAGTGGAGTAACACTATCACAAAATGACCTTTGACCTGCACTGACACTGTGATTTACCTTTGACCTCCAGTAAATCAATTCTAAAACTAGTCTTCATCAGCTATAGGGTTCGATCAAACTTTGGATGAGGATGAACATAAGAGTCTATAGAATATATTATGACAGAACAATGTCTCACACAATGATTTTCTCAGTATTTTGGAACAATTCTATAACTAGTTTAGATTACAATAATTTTCCATCAAGTTGAGAGAATCAGTGCATGAGGTACCTCCTTATTTAGATACACATGGAAAAGAAAACATTGGCACTTTGACATAGCCAGAGACAAAATTTGGTCCCTGCATTTTTTTCTTCTTCCAGGTCACTTCTTAAAACGAGTATCTGTACAACGGACCTGCTATACGATTATTCATTGTAGTCACTTTCATAGGCTAATTAATGTTCTACTTTTCGTCTGTTGAGAGCCAGGGGGGCGTTAAGTTCGTGGGAAAAGATGGAACTTAACATCCCTCTTGCTTTCAGTAGATGATTTCCAAAATGGGGCTAGCTGTTCTATAGAAGGGTTCATCTCTAGAACCTCACACCAATGTTTATTCACATCAAAGTATTGGAAAAGAGAGGGGATGATAACAAAAATGATTGATAGGAACTGTACAAGTTGAGCAGATTTCTAAGTCCACATGCACCCTTATGAGATTGCAACCCCTTCTAGAAGACAATGTAAAGCGTCTTATGTTAAAGGTTTCCACATCCAACATGTCCCACCCTCAACATTCTAGATCCGAGGTTCTTAAATATTGGCCCACGGGCCATATGCGGCCAATAAGACAATTTGAATTGGCCCGCCAAAATAATCAAGTAAAACAAAATAACAGAAAAGGTTCCTCTTTAATGCTATCAGTGGATACACAATACAACGTCACTGATTATTGACGCGAGATTCAAATAATCATTATCATTATCTGTCACCATATGCTAACACCCATGATTTGAAGAAGAAAAAAAAATGTTAACAATCATATCAAACGAGGAACAAATTCATATGAAATTGTTAATCAGAGGGGTATTCAAAACTGCTCTTTCAACATCACTCAATATGCCATTGATATGAGTAAGTAATGATATGACCGCAATTTTATTGCCAAAATATTTCTGGCTGGCCTCACAAATTAATTACCAGGTAAGAACCCCTGCTCTAGAAGTATCTTTTATTTTCAACACTTCAACAAAAGCAAATCATTTTCACCTCAAACAGCAGAGGAGAATGTTCATCATGTCGCTGTATTTTTTCCCTTTTATCTAAAACACTACAATCTATCCTAAAATGTTGTCGCACACGACAGTGGAACTGGACGCCAGAGGTTTCTATCAACACATATATCGGTACACAGGATAAAGTGCAAATGCACGCTGTATACAAAGCCATAAATTACATACAGTCAGTGGCTGCAAATATGTATATTGCAGCTGTTTTTCTTAAAAAACGATGTCCATCAAGCAAAAAAATAATACATGCACACGAAAAATAGTCCCCACAGGAATAGCATTAACATCAGTGATAATATACATGGCAATTGCATTCAATTTTTTCTTCTTCAATAAATACAAATTATCTACATCCAATATCATGACAAAAAAAGGAAATGGAAAAAACGCAACTGTTTCTTCCACAGGTATGTTTCTCACAAAAATAGCTTTGATTTTGTTTGTTTTCATCTTCCACAATCTTTGATTAATATGTAAATCAGAAAAAAGAAGATAATTTATACAATGATACATACTTTACATAGTATAATACAGAATGATATACAATAAAATGGACCACTCCTGAGGAAAATAAATGCATTAAAAAGTATATGACACAAAGGATTTTTAATTTACATATCAAATTAGGCAAGTCTTGTCATTTTCTCAATTACATATGAAGAAAGCAGTAAATGACAACTGCGCATCAGTTTGCTAAAAACTTCTAAGCAAGTCTGTCATAGTCTCTACAAATATAGAGAGACGTAAAGAGGACATAGGCCTATATAAACCAAAGTTAGGATAGAGTTACAACTCTCTGGATGGTACATTTACAGCATGTAAGGTAGAATCTACACATATTGATTTAATACCCACTTCTATACTACATGTTATCATAAGGGTTTAGAGAAATGAATATGCAGGCAATGTAAATCTGCACGAGTCAAAAGTGTGATTTTATGGGGTATTACTATTTTTTTTTAAATCACATTTTTTTCTTACTCTAAATTAATCATCATTCATTGAGCTTTATTCCTCTTCTTAAACACCTAAATCTAAGTCGAGTGTCTAGATGCTTTAAAGGTATAGCCATCACTAACGCCTTCGGATTTAACAAAATGTATGCATCAAATGGCACTTTAAAACATCATAAATATTTATCGTTTATAATACTGTTTCACATTAAAGTCTAAAGATTTATGAAATATTGCATGCAATTTCTTCAAATTAACTGTCCGGTTACACAACAGCATCTAGGTATATATAATTTTTTGAAAAATTTCAATACCTTTTTTTAATGATAATCTAAGGAAGCTTTTGTTTCAAGATTAATAATGCCTTATGATATAATATCCGGAGACCGTATTGTCCTTTATGAGTTTTCAACTTAAATCTATAGAAAGCCTGAGGCCACATGAGGCCTTTAACGGCATATATAAGTATCGAGACATCCAGGTATTACACACAAACACATGAGATCCAATAATTCTTCATCTTTGGAAAGTGAAAGTGCTGTATTTAAAGGTGCGATTGTGATGAATGAAATCGAATGTGGAATGATAATCAATGCATACCGACACACTAAGGAGCAGCTGAGTTTGATCGTAGGACAAACAAAATTTGGACCGCATATTGGTGAAACCAGGGGGGTGTTTCACAGAGATCCTAAGTCAAACTTAACTCTAAGTTGGACATAAAAATTGTGGAGAGCCTTTTATAGCCTTAAAATCAAATATTTCCAAAAGCAAAAATTAAAGTATTTTAGATAAATTCCATGTCAAGAACATGAAATTTCCTTGATAATAGAAAATATGAATGATTTGAATCAACATTTTATGTCTTTTAAAATAACTTTTACAAACTATTTTCAAAGATGCTAATGGCTTTCCATAATTGTTAAGTCCAACTTAGGATCTTTGTGAAACACCCCCCAGTACTGAGGGTGGGACTGAAAAGCACCCAAAACAGCTGACTACCTTGCTAGTATACATGTAGCCATGCTTAATGAGGACTGTAACCATATACAGTGACATCCCCTTCAGCAACCACCTGCATAGAAAGACAATTAACCTGTCTACAAGGACCACATTTGTTTGTTTCCCTTTAAAGCCCCACAGCACTACTTGTAGCTACTTGCTCCCTCTATGTAGAAAACAATGCCTAAGCGGTGCCTGTTGGTCCCCCATGATCCTCTTTTTCTTATGCGAATTGAGAGCTGAGTTGATGAGACAACCACCTGTCAGTTACCACGCTGGGTGGTCTAATCCCTCCTGGGCAAAAGAGTACAAACAGGCTTTAATGAACACACAACCATGTACGCATGGGGAATTTGACATTATTTGGGAATTCCCCCGCCAACAGATGTTATCAATCACCGGACTGGTAAGGCAAGCGAACTAAACAAGAACCAAAGGTAGACAATGTCTTTATTTATTTATTTATTTATTTATTTTTTTTTTTGGGGGGGGGGGGGAGGGAGCAAGATGTGCGGTTATTCTTTGGACATTCTATTCTGTTGAAAGAATATGTTTTGTAACCACATACATGTACCTTGCTCAAATCTATCATCACCATTGAAGCCTACAAAGATTACAACATCTTTAACGACAACCCTTGATGCAACTTTTGATTTCAATTCTCCATGTTCTTCTGTTTTTGTTGTTGATTTTTTCTGCAGGTTACCTTGACTTGACTCCTTGGCAACATGTGATCATCGGTCCTTGCACGCATCCACTCTACTTTCAATATAGCTATAACATTGATCTACATAATGCCTGTCTTTATGTATCCAAATTCTAAACAAAATTAATCAAATAAAAACTAAATGTGTCATTCTTCACGTGAGAAGTGATAGAGTGAATTGATTTTTGCCACCAAATTAAGCATTATTATTTACTGCACATGCACAATTCCTTGCTGGCTTAGAAGCACATTCAATACAAGCATTTCCGATGATACAGTTATACATTACTTTGTATATACATACATTTTCTTGTGTCACAGTGAGTGAACTCACAGACAATTCAATACTTTATACATTCATTTCAGCAAATAATATATATTTGTTAATCAAATAGCATTTTTACATATCGATAGAGATCTTTCTCTAGCTTACGAGTCTCTAGCACCATCACTTACAGTGTATTTAACTTCAACTTGTATTTTAAGAAGACACAAATTCTTGCATTTCAGAAGTATGAGTGCATGGACACACTCAAAATTACGCCCTTTACATACATGTATATATGTACAAGGTCTTCAATGAAATCTGAAACCTTCATAACCTAGGTGAATAATACATTTGGTAATTTTTATCATTTTTTTCCCTGAATGGGGCGAGATTTTAAAATTTCATTCAATTCTTATTCAAATATCCTTTTGGTTTGGGCAAAAATTACATCCTTTAGCATTACGAAGATTGAAGATGATATTTGTAAATTCCACATTTTTTACACTACCAGCACTTAATCAGTATAAGTAACACTTCGTACCTGTTTTTTTAAATTTTTAACTGATGCAATCCAAACTGGTTTTGGTTTAACTGCATTTCCTTAAGATGCCAGCTAAGGTTATCTTGTGCATTAGTCTTAAAAGGTTAACAGGACTTGTCCTAAAGATACGAGGTTCTGTATAATCATTATTAGCCCTGATTTAACAGCAGAGTTGCCGTGATGAGACTTTCAAGGGTATCAGCTACCCATTTCCTGCACCAGGGCGTTGAGCGGCAAAGGCAGATCAATGTCTTTGCTACAGGTAACGGTCTCGTTCCATTCAGGTTACATTCAGCCCTGTCTGCACCACATCCATCTATGACAACAACGGGGGCTACCTGCTAATCAAAAGAGTGGCAAAACAATGTAAGGGCACCGCAACAATGTTAAAGGGCACCGCAACAAACGGAGGGAGAGACCAAGAAGAGTCTTTGGTTAGAGGAAGGAGCCATCAAGGAGCTTGTTGAAATCACCGTAGACACCACTTGTGTTTCTTGGTCCGGATGTCGTTGCCTTTCTTCAGCTCGGCCAAACACTTCTCAAAGTAAGCCGCCTCGTCCAAGTAGTAAGCGGGTGGCCAGCGCTGGCGCTCTATCTGCTTGCGGTACTCCGGAGCAAGTTCCTTGAAGAGCTTTGGTCGGCCCTTCTGGACGTCGATGAAACGTATGGTCATGTAGTGGATGCACCAGCTATGGAGCTGGTGGGCATTGTGAAGCTAAACAGGAAGCAAACAAAAAAAGAATGAATTAATCTGTAGAATATATTTTCCAGTGGAATTCAGATCATACAGAAAAGAAGAACAAGAGAGCATGGTCTGAGGCTGACTGAATATCCCCTAATAACAAGTGTTTTGAGTCTGGAAATCTTGAGGTTAGCACTCTAGCTTGAGGTCAGCACTCTAGGTCAAAACTAGCCTTTGATACCACAGTGTCATTAAATCAGAGAGACCACATCTACAACTTTAACAGGTAGCACTTTACTGGAGTGTTCCTACACAATACCCGTAGAAGGTGTACAAGTGGCACAATGTGGCTAAAAGAATGCTTCTACAATTAATAGATGGAAGCATTTACAACAAGTCTTGCATTGGAAGCTAAAAACTTTTTATTCTTTGCCTCACTGATGCAAAACTGAGTGTAAAGGGAAAACAACATGTCATGCTGAAGTATTCTTTCAGATTGCTTTTACTTGAAATAAATGGATAAAAGACTCTATTGTACAAGAGTCGGACACTCTTCTTTTAAATGCATCGTTTAACAATATCAAACCTGAGATATATGGCCCTACGTGATATCAGTGTCTTTGATATGGTGTAATTTTGAAGCCCTAAAAAAATTGAGCTTCAAATGATCATGAAGTGCCTCAAAAAAGTAAAATTCTTTGAGTGACCAATTTTTACTTGTTTTCCCCAATAGTCTGTAGTGTTATGAAAACTGTTAGAAAAACGCAAAATTTGATTTTGATTTCTAATCATAAATATCTTGATAATCAGACAGGCGATCGGCTTGTAAAAGTCATGGGGTTCCTGACTGACATAAAGGTTTATAATTATGATTGCAGCATGAGCTAAATCCAGGATTTTGTTTCAGAATCTGAGACAAAGTTACCCAATCCCTTTAAAGTGTACCAACCTTAGCTATCTGGAGGACGCTGACGACGGCTTCGTCAAGGACATCTTGTGTCTCCATGCTGGACTGGAGCTCATGGACAACACTCTTCTCACACAGGGCAACCAGGTGGGGCAAGCATAGAAAGTTGGCTAGCTCTAGGACTGCCAAAGCGTCGGAGTTGCTCTCCATGTGGCACTGGTCCGTGTAGAGATACTCCAAGAACAGCTCAAAGGTCGCCTTCTTGAAGGTCTTCATCGATACCTGGGACAGGGCAAAAAAAAGACGGTTCAAGTGTACTAATCAACTAAAAAAGATAATTTTTGTATAGCTAGACTGTATAAAATCAACCTAAAAAAAAGTTGACCTGGCATTCTATAAATTAAAGATTTAGGACTATGAATAAGATAAGGGATAACATAAAATTGTGCGTACGGGAATCCAACGCCCACTTGTGTGCTATTTTATATGAGCATGTAAGTGTCTGGCATTCTATAAATTAAAGATTTAGGACTATGAATAAGATAAGGGATAACATAAAATTGTGCGTACGGGAATCCAATGCCCACTTCTGTGCTATTTTATATGAGCATGTAAGTGTCCGGCAACTAGTTTACTAAACAAGTCGTTTCACTATTTACTGAGGCTACATGTCAACTGCAATATTTCTTTGTAGACATGGAACCCCTCACATCGAGAGCAAAACAATTAGTAATTGGTACACTTTAATTTCCAAATTGCATTTTTGGATTGATAGAAAAATACCCAAGTCTATATACACTGGATTGGTCCATTATTGCCTAAACAGATTTTTTTAAAGGTGTTCCAGCTCATTATGAATGCAAAAATGTAATATGTTACACATACATATTTGCACACCAACCCTCAGAATTACCCCTGGACTATTATCCTTTAGAAAAATTACTGTTAAAGGCCCACTGCACTACTTGTAGCTACTTGCGCCCTCTATATAACAAACAACAACTAATCGGTGACCATTGGTCCCCCATGATCCTCTTTTTCTTATGTTAACTGAGAGCTGAGTTGATGAGATAACCACCTGTCCAGTGACCTTGCAGGGCAGTCTAATCCCTCCTGTAAACTACGGCAGATAAGCTTTAAGAATATTTACACCATAAACATCCTTGACAATTACCAAAGTGCTGGATAATTGTCCAGAGGACAACTTTCCCTATGAATCCTTCCCTAGACAACTAGATATTATAATTAAATTACAAATACTAATACGAGAACATTTGTAAGGGACACTTGTCTTGGGACTGATGTCCGTGAAACAATTATGCTAAGAATGAATTCTAATTTGGGTAGATGTCCTATGGAGACATTGTCCTAGGGGTGATTATCCTAGAATGGTCGTTGTCCAGGTGGATATGTGTACTTGTCCTAGAATCAACGCATATAAAACTATGATGAAAAAGAGAGATGCTAGGGCCCATTTCACAAAGCCTTTTTTCAATGACAAATGACAAAAATCAGTGACAAATCTGCTGATAACCAACCAGAAGCAAGGATTTTAGTAGCTTATAACAACAACTGTCATTTGTCACTGATGGCAAGTTTTGTGAAACACCCCCAGGTTGAAGGTGGTCGTACCTCTGATGAACTCTCCTTGAAGTTCCCGCTGAGCATGGCTAACATTGGATCACACCTCACCATCACCAGACACTTGTGACTCTTCACCTGACCATCCTCAACATTGATCACCAAATCTGCAAAGGTAGATAATAATAATAATAGTGGGTTCTTGTGTAGCGCTCATGTCTGTTAGACTTGACACTCCAGGCGTTCCGGATTATTACCCTGGCTTTAGCAAGGCTGCCATTACGGTGCTCTAGCATTTCAAGGAATTAATTCCTGCCAGGTACCCATTTACATCACCTGGGTTGAGTGTGGCAAATGTAGATCAATGTCTTGCAAAAGGACATTAGTGCCGCGGCGGGACTTGAACCGCGGACCTTGTGATCGACAGTCCAGTGACATATCCACTCGACCACAACACCCCTATGGGGTTAAAAGATCATGATTAGAACAGCTAAAGTATCTTGAAATTATTTGGACTAACCGACCTTGTAGACCTTGTATGGAATGGGAATACAACACCAATTAAAGTAGCTGTATGGAACACTAAGATACATTAGCTTCCTGAAATAAAAACATAGATATGCACATAAGGGACTTTGAGCAAAAATCTTGCTACCATTAGATTTTTCTTTATAATAGTTCAGTCTTCAATCAAACAGATTCAGGGGAATACATGTAGCTCTCGTTTTATTATGAGTTCCAACTAAATCCCTCTCATAATTTATTAATATAGTCTGAAGATATTGAATAGAAAATTAGTCAAACAAATGTCAAAGCTTGACAACCATTCCATTTTTTGAATAAAGCAAATGATATCGGAATTGATTTTTGGGGGCACAGGGATAATAGGTTATATTTCCAGTGAGAAATTTAACAAGGATGTAGGTTACTCTAGTACAACATTGGCTTACCTGACAGAAGGCCTTGGTTGGCAAAGAGTTTGGCAAACCTCTCCTTTCTCCTGTGCAGAAAGTTGTCCACCAGGTCCGCATTGAGAAACTCATCCTGGTTCTTTACATTGGCCACAAAGGCCACCAGGTCCGACAGGTCCAACAAAGATGCCGCGGTGATGATATCGCTAAGGCTACTGTACACCTTGATGTCCAAGGAACCTGTGTAGAGGAATTCCAGAACTGCCCTGAACGCTTCGGCCGTGATCTTGGGGTTCAGGACAACAATGTGCCTCTGGGTGGTCCGACCGCCCAGGCTGTCGGTCACCTGCTGTAAGTGGATGGAGTTAAAGGCCTGATGCTTCAGAGTCTTTGTCGGAAGGCATTGGAGGTTGGCAGGCACTGTGGGCGTGTTGATCTGCTGCAGCGGTGATGACCTGATGGAGGGGGAGGATGAGCGTAACCTGGTGGGTGTTGAGGTCTGTTGGTGGTGGTGGTGCAACGGTGACGACGAGCCCATCGTGGTGGGCGCGGCCTTGCTGCAGTTTTTGTGCTGAGCCGAGCCGGAGAACAGGCACGTGTTCCCGTTGGGCGAGATGCTTAAACACTGGTCCTCTGCCAGGAGGGTGTTACAGTTGGGGTGCAGCCCCAAAGGAGGAGAGGGGCAAATGTTCTCATGGTTGCAGTCTGGTGACTGGGACCGGTCTGGTGTGGGGCTGTGACAGCACATAGGGGACTCTGACCTAGGACTCTGATGGGCGGTGTGGTGGTGGTGTTGTTGGAGGATGTCTTTGGCTTGTGACTGGTTCTCATTGCTTGAATTGCTTCCAGACGATGAAGACTGTTTGGACAGTTCTATATCTTTTTCATCATCAAGGAACAATTCACTGAATATTGGTGAAGCAGCCAGTAGGCAAACCTATAAAGAAGTGAATAAATAGTAATTACATGTATATGAAATAAAAATCTGCAATACATCCCATAACACATCCTGTCAACTCTACATAATGAATTCATTTGTGAAAACCAACAGAGTACCTTGAAGTCTCCAACAGGTTGGTCACTCTATTTCTTGCCTTTTTTGTTTCCTTGTGTAAGATATAAAACAGAAGAGGAGAGGGTCAACACAGATAAAAGGAAAATATGGAAAGAGAGGAAGAGCAAGAGGAGGAGGGAAAACAAGGGGAAAGACAGGAAAAGAATTGAGAGAAAGCAAATGAGTAAAATTGGATAGATAGAAAGAGATAGGGATTTAATATCCAAGTATTACATTTGGGTCAAACTTGTGGATATGGTGATTCTATGCAGTGCAAAACATTCATGAGATAGTCAAAGGACTTGCATTCTTCTTTTGCAGGTTCTTTTTAAAGGCATTGTTTAACAATTTTAAATCTGAGATGCATGGCCCTACGTGTTATTAGTGTCTGTGGTATGGTGTAATATTGAAGCCCTAAACAAAAATTGTGCTTCAAAATGATCATGAAGTGCCTCAAAAAAGTAAAAATCTCTGAGTGACCGGTGTTACCATAGTCATTTTCCCAACTAGACTGTAGTGTTATAAAAACAGTTAGGAAAACTAAAAATGAAATTTTGATTTCCAATCATAAATATCTTTATAATCAGACAGGCGATCAGCTTGTAAAAGTCATAGGATTTCTGACTGACCTAAGATTTACTATTATAAATGCATCATGAGCTAAATCCAGGATTTTGTTTCAGAATCTGAGGCAATGTTACCGAGTCACTTTAAATAGTTTAGGGGCAAGTCACCACCAGCCACTTCTGGCTGGAAGACAGACGGACGGACAAAAAACAATACCTTGTGAGCACAGATGGACTCCCCATGAGCTGTGAAGATCACATCAGCACACGCGGGTTCCTTGAGTAAGATGCTGATATCTGTAGCATAGGTGGACTCTGGGATATGGATACAAGGCCCTCGAGGGCAGCCTGGTAAGTAGGGTGCTTGCAGGAGTGGCTTCTGGACCTATGGGGAGAAGTCAAAGTAAGTGTGTACTGAAACAAGGCAGTGATTTCATTTAATAAATGTTAATTGTTATTGCCGTACAAAGTTGTAACCACTGCCTTGTGGTTCAGGTTCTCTTTAGAATCTAATTAAGGCTAAGGGAGCAAACCCTAACAGAAAACCATGCCACCGTGACAGAATTGAGGGCAATTGACGATACGGAACTCCCGACATCCTTCGACCAGTCACTGCAGGGTCTAGTGGTTTACACCCGTCCTGGCTTGTCCTCGCCGGTGTGAAACTGCCACCAGTTCCTCGAGAGAGTGCCGTTGGTAACTTGCAAGAGCTCCCGGAACTTACCCACCTTTGCAAGCAGCCTTCATGAAAACGAAGGCAGTCATTGTCGCTTCAAGACAGACAGCTACTACTACTACTTCTGAAACACTTCTCTCGCTCTCTTTCTTTCTCGATATTTCAAAATATCTTTACATATCTTTGACTTATGGTATTGGCACTGCATTCAGAGTTAAACTTGGATTAAAAGTAATTCAGCATTGTCTGTTTATGCAAACCTCGGGCTGTCTGAACCATCTAAATCAAGATGAGCATTTTGGACGATATACTTTTGTTCGACTTCTGGTTAGGATTTACTAGCTCGATTTCATCGTCTTTCTTTGCTTCTTCGGCTATTACTCAATTTCTACCACATTCATTCGTCAGATATCATTGATGTCTAATCTTAAAGGCCGTCTGTACTAGTTTGGCTAGGAGGGATTAGACCACCCAGGAAGGTCACTGACAGGTGGCTATCTCATCAACTCATGGGGGGCCGATGGTCACTGATTAGGCATTGTTTTCTATATAGAGGGAGCAAGTAGCTACAAGTAGGACAGTGGGCCTTTAATATCTGAAGCATAGGTAGACTCTGGGATGTGAATACAAGGTTGAAATAGCCAGTGGAACATGCAGCAATTGTCGCTAGAGCACATGTGACACAACCTTTCCTCTCTGCACCTTTTTAATTCATGAATGATATTCTGCAGTTGTGAGTCGGTCAAAGGAGGTGCACACCATCTTATTCATTGTTTGTTTGTTTGATCGTATGTTTGACCTTATGTTTGATCTCATTTTTATTTTTATTATTATATATGCATGATTTATTGAATAAAGAACAGATTTATAATTTGTGTGTTTATTATAAGTTTTGGTTGGTCATTTTTAGTTACACAATGGTGCGCTTATAAACACTCGTATTAAGCACGTAATAAATGTTGTCTATTATTATTATTATTATTATAAGCATACCTTCTTCAGATTGGATTGCCAGAACCTATGCTGCCGTCTGTAGATGAGCGCCGCCCTCACCACGTTGTCGAAAACCTCCTGGACTCCGTAGAGAGTGTAGGAACTGGTCTCATAGTAGACGAGGTTGGACTCTTTGGCGATGTTGCGGCCTTCCTTCGGTGGTAGAATCCCCTCGGGATCAAAGGCTCGATGGCGGGAACATTGGTGGCTGCAAATGATCCAAAAAATATCAGAACATAATTTGAGGTCATGAAACATATTCGCACAGTCCAAATATTGGTTCACACTACTTTATACACAATAACAGCTTAGAAATCAAACAAGGGTTAAACTAGTCTTCATACTTCAAATCATGACATACTTTCCGTTTTCTACCTTCTAAAAAACATAATTTGTATAAGTCCTCATCATCTATCTTTCTCACAACATTTCCATATGATGAAGGCAAATGGTTGCTAACATCTCATTAGAGTAAAAGAGAAATGGTTTCAAAATTTGGCATAAGCTTATCTTAAACTACTTTAAATATGCAAATTTGAAAGTTAAAGGGATTGGGTATCTTCGTCTCAGATTCTAAACAATATTCTGGATTTAGCTCATGCAGCAATCATAATTATATACCTTTAGGTCAGTCATGCGGGAATCCCTTTACTTTTACAAGCCTGCTGGATTATCAAGATATTTATGATTGGAATTTGAAATTTCAAAAAAAAAATTCCCCAACGGTTTTTATAACACTACATTCTACTGTGCAAAATGGGTATGGTAAAACCGGTCACTCAAAGATTTTTACTTTTTTGAGGCACTTCATAATCATTTTGAAACGCACCTTTTTGTTAGGGCTTCAATATTACACCATATCACAGACACTGATAACACGTAGGGCAATGCATCTCAGATTTGTAAAACTGGAAACTTTGTTAAAAAATGCCTTTGAGATCGCACTGATTGCATTCCATCAGCAGAGACGAGAAATATGTCCCTGAACATATATCAGACAGATCTTTTATCATGTATCAATAATTTGTATTCTTTGTATCTTATTGAATTTTATGAACAACCTTACGGGAAAAATGACATTGACAATATAATGTTATGGCCTTGGCAGAAAGAAATACTGGTATGTAACCCAACATATGTCTTTATTTGGTTACAGTGATATTCCAAACACAATTGACAATTTGTCATAGCCACAAAAAATGAAGGTTACCAATTTTTTCCTCAGGTAAAAACATCCAGGGCTACGTTTTATCAAACATGTTTTGTTAACAAATAAATAAAGAGAGTCAAATGCATATTTGCTCCTAGCAATTCAAATACAACAATTTCAGTAGCTTTACTTCTTTAAACTTATTGATTACAATATGAAACGGGGCCCTGGTCGAAAGTGTCACATGCATGAATATAATATGATTTACTAATGAGGAATTGTACAGCCAGGGGTCATCCATTGATCAATGCCCTAGTATAATCCTTAACCCTAATTTGTGACCTTTGACGAGTAAATAAAGCCCAGAGAATTTTATCGCTCACAGCTATTTTTTTTTCTTCTTTTCCCTCACTTACCATATATATATATATATATATAAACTGATTTGTAATTATGATTGTGTATGAAGCATTAAAAGTACCTGCAGGTCAATGGCTGCTGTATAGCTAGCAACAGGTCACTGCTTTGTTATTATTAAAACACGGATGCGGTTACCATGGCAACGGTATCTTAATACCGTCCTGCTCCTGGCTTCTGCATCCCTTACAGTGCAAACTAACTTACATGCAGGGCGAGGGTGAGTCGACTTACCTCACTGGCCCCCTCTCTTTCTTAAGGGCCTCTAGGTCGGCGTAACGCAGATCGTTCTTGCATCCGCACATGATGATGGGCGCCCGGGGGCAGAAGTGACGGATCTCCGGCAGCCATTTCTTCTTGACGTTCTTGAGCGAGATGGCGTCCGCGATGGAGAAGCAGAGCAGCACCACGTCCGCCCTGGAAGGAAAAGGGAGATGGGAGAGATGATGACGTGATGAGGTCGTCATGCATCATTTATGGAAATCGGTTGAGAGAAAGAGTGTAGATTTTTCTTCATCTTTTAAACCTTCACACCATGACTACCTTTTGCAGTGCCACATCCTCTTTTTACACAATATCTTGGATTTATTTTATATTTTCAAAAAGGAATGATAAAGATAATGTCCATTTATGGAAATCGGTTGAGAGAGAGAGAGAGTGTGTTTCTTTTCTTCATCTTTCAAACCTAATTCACACCGTGACTACCTCTTGCAGTGCCACATCCGCTTTTTACACAATATGCTGTTCAGGGACAAAGATTTTTTGAAGTATCTAAATGGATCATCATCCCTTTTACAAATTGGCAACACTTATATTTATCTCCACCAGGCAAATATGTCTCCATAGGTGGTATCACACAAAAAAATCCCTTAAAAAATCCCTTGAAAATTCCTTTCAAGGGAGAATTTTCTTGCTTCGTTAGAGGATTTTTGAAGGGATAATATTGATGAAAGAAAGCAATTAAGAGGATAACTAAAATCTGAATAACTAAAATCCAGATTTTTGGCCTCTGTGTGACACCGCCTTATACATATACTTTTAACAAATATCTTGCATTTATTTCATATCTTCAAAAAGGAATGATAAAGATTAAAATGTCAATAAAGTGCAAATAAAGATTGTGTATTTGTCCATGTGTTGCTAATTCAAAGATTTTTTGTTTGTTTTTATTCCCATTAAAGTTTCTACTCTCTAAAAAGACATTAGATTATTAAAATAAACTAAATATATGCTTCATTTCTTTTTCTGTCAATTGATATACTTTGATCTAAATGTCTCAAAGCTGATATTTTAGTGGCTAAATTTTTTCATTTAGATTACATTTTCATAAAGCCTATGAATGCATTTCAAAGGCTATTAGGAAAAATCTTAACTAATCATCGACTCTAAATAGAAAATATATCAAAACAATTTGACAAAATTATGTTGTACATTTAGAATACCATTTTTATTGCATTTCCTTTTGGAAGACATTGGTCTTGTGATGGAAAGCAGAAGAGAAGTACGAAAGAGGCAGCCCTAAAATAGCAAAGAGAAACCTTTTGATGACCCTTCAAAGGGCCACTCTTTCTCTCAGGGGGTAACAACCTAATTCATAATTCAGAAAGGTTTCATTTAATATTAGAAGAATGCTAGGCAAGACCCTTCATAAAGGCAAGCGTGCATGCACGTCACCCCGTCTCTGCCGTTCGATCCCCCCTCTAATATGCATGCACTCTGCGTGGATGGCCCTATAGCCTGGCAAAGGTGCTTGCAAGTATGATAATCACAATATACAATCATTCACTCCACGACTTGCATTAATACCTAATTTGCAGCGATTCCACGCCTGAATGCGTCACAATACAACATGAGACTCTTTCAAGGTATTTGTAGTTCCAACGCAATAAACGATTATGCAGCCTGCATATTCCTAATCTCATCCTACTAGCTAAAGTGTCATATATAATTCCACTCTCCACATTTGACACGATTTAAAGAGAATGGTTGAGTTCCGGGAAAAGGTAAAATTGTTGAGCTTTAATTGTCTTTCTTCTACATCAGTTTGGAAGAATATCATAGTAGAAGTGTACCCTGAAATAGACACTGCTCTCTGGATGCCCTAATATTCAAATCATGACTAGAAAAACCTGAAACATTGGACCAAACTTTCATGCCTCATAGTTTTGTAATCCAATATACACATGTCCATGTACAGTGCAATTTTCAAAGAGACTGGGTCAATTTCGTACTATTTTGATAATTCTAAAACATGACAACAATTCTTGTGTGCTACATAATCATGCTTTCCCAATGGCTTCCAGACAGTTTATTTCACAAGGTAATTGCATGACCATGCATGCAGGGCCCAGTTTTATCAAACTTCTTATCATTAACAAATGCTAAATCAAATGCCACGATTTCAGTAGCTTACAACAGTTAATGTAACTTAATTGTTTATTGATAACAAGTTTTATGAAACAGGGCCCTAAACTCAACTTTATCTTTATTGTAAGTGGCATATTGTATAGCTGCATTGTATAGCTGCACGTACATGAAGGTCCATGATTAAATGCCGAAGCGTCAATTACCCTGTCAGGTTCAATAGCAGCTCCAATTGGTTCACAATATTGACTCACATTCAAGTTCATTTGTGGGGATGTTCACTCAATACAGTTTGAATGTACACAATATCAGAGCCCAAATCTCGATGCAAAAATTATATGGGCATACATTTTATTTCAAGCACTCTTGTCAAAAGTGGAATTCACTGGAAGTCTCAAAATTTTCAAAACAGACTTTGGCAAACTTTCCTTATAATGTTGTTGGTATCCTGCATAGAAACACCATCACATCTTAAAAATGAAAATGTAATCTTATGAATTTCATTACTTTTAGCCATCTGCATCTTCTCTGCACTTTTATAGTGCAAATAGCATTTATACTGAAGCCTGGAAACTAGGCTAGCTTGGACAGATCACTCAGAAAGGGCGTGAAGATCTCATTAACTTCTCATTAAGTCACACCTCAACAGGTTCGGACTTCAAAAACCACTTGAAAGCCAGAGACCAATTTGTCTACATGCAGGTACAGGGATTCTTATCGACTATGCTGACTTGTATTTTGCATGTGAATGTTTTCAAAAAGATTTTCCACATTAAACCAAGCTCATCCAAAGCAGATATGTGACAGATCAATGTTGTATTTATCGATCTCCATGGCATAAACATAAACCAATTTCAGCAAAAAAATGAAATAATAAGAAACTACCTATTACATTTTATGAACTGCCTGATAAAGGTTGAATTACTTCAAGCCAGTTTCATTAGAAATGCTTCTTCCATAAACCTGAATTCAGATGAGCTAGAGGGTTGTAAAAGTGTCACTATGTGGTAATTTAGTAAGTGTGACTTTAATGTTTTGCTGAAGCTGACTACAGAGATACTATTATGTCAGAAAGATATATTGCACGTAAAGATCAATGCAATATATCTAAGTATATAAATTACATAGTTACAGACCTTTCAATGAAATGTGCCTATTAAAGCTACCCTGACAGCATTACTGGAATAGTTTCCTTACAGGAATAACCATATTTATGACTGGGGAGATAAATCAGATCAGTTCTACAGACAGAAACTACTTAATAGAATTATTAAAAAACCGTCTCTTGTTTGCCAGATAGAGTAGCTGGAAAGGTAATCCAGTGTTATTTGAAGCTTCTTACAAGAATTACCAAGAAACGAACCTGAAATAATTATATTAATGCAATAGCGTTACAAAACCAGTTTGTTTAACAAACACTTGAAATGATTCATGAATGAAAATACTTCAAATACTTCAATTAATTTAATAAAAACAGTATCTGCGGTACTATTTTAGAATAGACTAATTTTATGGATGACAATTTTATGGACAACAATTAAGGGTTTCTCAGAAAACTGTAGATGAGTAATATTGCTCAAACATCTTAATTGATTCACTCAAACAAAATACATTTACAGCACAATTTAGATTAGAGAGATAAGGATGAAAAGACTATAGATAAATAAAATATGTACCTTGAATACCTCATTAATCTATCACAACAGGACAATTTGTATAACAAATTGGAAATTGCAATAGACATATTTTATGGATGGCAAGGCTTTCTCTGAACTTTGTACATGAATAATGAACACGGCTCCACAGAACTAACAACATGGCCATGTTATACTCTGAATGTGGTTGTTAGTCCCACACCTACAAATCACTGTGGCTTGTTTAGATTGGCGCTGCATGCAAAGTCTTCATTAGGCCAGCCAATTACTTGATATCAGCGGCGGGTCTGACGGTGGAGCTGTTAATCACATCACATCACGTCATAACCCCTGGAGTTATAGGCCAACAGTTTGAACTTGGACAGGTTTAACTATTTTAAGCACAGCTATAGCATACTTAAAGGTAAACTTAAACATTAATTGGAGTTATAGGCCAACAGTTTGAACTTGGACAGGTTTAACTATTTTAAGCACAGCTAGTATACTTAAAGGTAAACTTAAACATTAATTGGAGTTAGAGAACAATGCTTTTAACTTGTGTAGATTTAACTATTTTGAGTATACTTAAAGGTAAACTTAAACATTAATTGCAGTTATAGAACCAACAGTTTTAATTTGGACAGGTTGAACTATTTTAAGCACAGCTAGTATACTTAAAGGTAAACATAAACATTAATTGAGTTATAGAACAAGGCTTTTAACTTGTGTAGGTTTAACTGTTTTAAGCAAAGCTAGTATACTTAAAGGTAAACATAACATTAATTGCATTTATAGAACCAACAGTTTGAACTTGGACAGGTTTAACTAGTTTAAGCACAGCTAGCTAGTATACTTAAAGGTAAACACAAACATTAATTCGAGTTATAAAACTGTGCTTAAAATAGTTAAAACTATATAAGTTAAACTGCTTTAAACCTGTATAGGTTTAAGTATTTTAAAGGTAATACAGACCAGTTTTGGAAATGCCCCCCTCTCATAAAATGAAATGGAAGCTTATTACCAATCATGAGAAAAAGAATATGTTTTGACTAATACGTGATGATACAAATTTTGCCAGGAAACCTCCTACTAATTGATATATTTGGTACATCATCATATCGATCCAGCCTGGATAGATATTGCAAATGCACTTCACATTGAACATTTGGGCATATATTTCTGTTTTTTGCGAATTTAGGTTGAAGGCAATTATTTAATCAATATTGAATGGATATTTTGCACCCAAAACCCTTGAACAGCAATTTTACCACTACCGGTCTATATGTTTAAGCACAGTTTAAAAATTCTAATTAATATTTTACGTAAACATAAACATTAATTAGAGTTATAGAACAACACTTTTTTAAGCACAGTAAACTTATGAAGGGAAACATTAACATTAATGGGATTAATAGGCCAACAAGTTTGAACTTCTTTATGTTTTGGAAATGATTTAAAGTTTATCATAATGGAGAAATAAACATGAAATAATTGAGTTGAGGATAGAACCAAAACCGAAGAATAAAAAGCCTGCTGACTACCTACCTGCCGTATGCAAACTGTCTGTCCTTCTCATGGTCACCAAAGGTATCCCAGAGACGTAGAGATACACTGACCCCATCAATCGTCTCCCAGGAATTCTCAAGCACCTGTCAACAAAGAGTAATTAGAACGTTTTTAGTCAAGGGCTGGCCAGCCAGACCCAGACAGAGACGAGCTCTCTCTCTCGGCAATGAAGGGCCTTTTTAGAACCCCATGGGGGTGGATCAAGGGTTTTGTATTTTTTATAAAAAGGGGGGAGGGGGCTCCAGGGTTCCAATCCCCCAAATGATTTATATTACATGCAGCAATTTAAGAAGAAAGGTAAATTAACCTTTAAAATTAGGGGGCGGGGCAGGGGTAGGGGAGAGGGTATTCCACCAAGTCACTGACAAATTCAAAATAAAATTGTGGACACCTGTGACCCCATCAGCCCATCAGCACATCAGCCTCTGAACTCAACATACACTACCAAAATAAGAATTTTTTTTTTTAGTGGAATGCTCTAATATATTAATTGAAAATGTCCTTCAGAGGGTCACTTTCAGGAAATTCTACAAAGGCATGAATGAATCCAATGTAATTTGAATGATGATTTTAAACACTTCAGCCTCGTTCTGACACAAAGGTAGTAAACCGCTTCAACAATTGATGAGACAAACATATATGAAATACATGTATGCCCAGTGTGTATCACATTCAGTGTGTATTAGAGGGACTATTGTTGCATGCAGCTCGATATTGCACCATGGAGAGCCAAATGTCTAATTACAAAATAGCCTTCCAAGTACATTCTAAAGCGATATGTCATTAAAGGTATTGGGTAACTTTGCCTCAGATCCCAAACAAAACTATTGATTTAGCTCATGCTGCAATCATTATTATAAAGTTTTATTTCAGTCAGGAATCCAATTAATTTTACAATCCAATCACTTGTTTGATTATCAAGATACTTATGATTGGAATTTAAATTTGAGACCCTACCCCTGCCCTGGTACAGTTTCCAGTCTGTAACGGTTAACATACCTCCCATTTTTGGCACAAAACTTTCAATCCAAAAGGAAGAAAACCACACACAGAAATATGCATAGTGTAAAGATAATCAAAATATCCTAGTGGAACTATATTTCTGGGTTGGCCATTCGATGGGAATGGGATCTACAAGAAGGGCATAGCTAGGTAATGAAGATGTCATCACAAAACCCACTGGATGGAGAACACAAAGAAGTAAACACAATTAATCAATCGTTCAGAGAAATGTTTCCTTCTATTCATAAGGAAATGTTAAAGGTACTAATGAACATTGAAAACAAAAATTAATGAGCACTTGAACAAGGGATGGGTTAAATCCTTAGGAGTTGAAGGTTGTTACTTGAGACAGTTTCAATGATTATGGTTCAGACATTTTCTTGAGCAGTGTGTACAGGCAAATTGAAGTTGTTTGTCTGTGGGGGTGTTTCATAAAGCTGTGCGTAAAGTTACGCATGACTTTAATGCAAAGTGTATTTTGGGCTACAATTTAATTGAGATTATGGAAAATACAGTCACACTTTGTTAAAATGTTCAGAAAAGCTTTGGGCATCCCATTTGGCTCTTCCTATTCAAATCATTTGTAAAGGCATTCGTAACTTTATGCACAGCTTTATGAAACACCCTTCAGACCCATTACAGGTAAAATAGCTTTTAGAAATCATACAACTAATTCTAAATTTTACAAGAGTCGATCCTCTCCCATGGTTCACCAAAAAAAAATTGTCCATTTCTAAATTGAGTTCAGTAAGTTAATTAAGTTGATGCTCAATGGCATATACTGTTTTCATGTTTACATTATGAACGCAATCAGGATGTCTACAAAACAGACTGTACTTAACTTTGGTACGATTAATACTGTAGGCACTGATTCTATAACCTGGTGAAAAGCTAACTGAAACTAAACAACAATTGGGTCATTAACAATGCCGAAAATAGATTATAGTACTTGAGACTGTGAACTAATTAAGTACACACCGACTGTTTGTAATAAAACACCTTTGATAACTTTCAGTTTAGATAAATTGCAAAGAACTTCATAGAGTGACCAGGAACTTTGGCAGTGTACTGTGTCAAGTCTAGGCCTGCATGAGGTTTGAATTTTTGATTTTGGGTATTTCAAAATTAAATTTTACTCTGATATTTTGCAACACAGAATTTAAAATATACAATTCACAAATTAAATTTCAGTTCAATTAAAGATATATGCTGAAGAAATAAATGGATATAATTTGAGATACCAATGACAGGTCATTCTCATATGGCTCCAATATTGAGGTTGCAAGGAATGAGTCAAGCTTTACGGTACCGAGCGTGTTCAGAAACTGCAGTCTGATTCACCCGGGACTGAGCAAGTTACAATAGGCTACCACACACGAGACCAAAATGCTGATCAGACTATCAAAATATCCACAAAAGTTGTGGCTAACCCAAGAAATTATGACGAAGGAAAAGGAAACATAGAACTCAGAACAACATTGATGTGCCTTTCAATTGCTCTTAGACAGAGCGTGGAGGGGGTAATTTTTGAGGGGGGGGGGATAATCCTGCCCCTTAAGGGGGTATCTCACTGAACGGCTATAGCTTACAAACGTAACTATTGGTTCGTCAACTTCAGAGACACTGTCTTACAACCGTTTGTAAAGGCTCACAACTGTTTTGCAAACGCTTGCAACTGTTTGCAGAAAAATAATTTCGCATCGCGACAAGCAAAACTGTTTGCTAAGTTTCTTGCAACATTTCACGAACCATGGCGAAAGTCCAAATTCGCTACGTTCGCAAGTATTCGTCGCTCAGTGAGATACCCCCTTTAAGGATTCATAACAGGTGTTCTAAAAGTATAATACGTGCATAGATCTCACCTCTTGACACATGCGATACTGGTCGATGGCCCAGACAGAGGGAATGTGAGTCTGGAAGAGCTGGGATCTGGTCATTGCCTGGTTGGTTGCCCTGGCAACGATCAGCCTGGTCTTGCCCACTGCGCTGTCGCCCACCACGACGCACTTGACCAGTTCCTGACGGGGCAGCTCGTTGTCCATATTGGTAGCTGGTCAGCTAGTGCTCATACAGTCCTTGCAACAATTAGGACATGGCCTGAAAAGGTCAAATAAAAATGAACAGAAAATTGATAAGTAAAAAAGCAATGTACTGAGAGGAAAGATATCAAATTATGAGGGATGGGCTGAGGAGGAGAGGAGAAACAAAATTACAATATAACATCCTAAATATAGAGAAGAACATTATAGGCTATATAAATATAATTCTAAATGAAATCTGAATATTTATCAACATCAATAACAAATTGGATGACACAAATGTAACTATAAAAACACAAGACTATAGTAAACAATGCTTTGAATAATCAACGTTTTAACAGACACACCTTGATTTATGAAAATGAGAAAATAACAAGTGCAACTTCTGAAAGATTTGGAGTCTTACACTATATTTGCTAATTTATCATTCCGTGTGGGAGCGTAATGATCAAGTTAAAAAATAGTATGCGAAGCAGGCGTACTGAAACTTGGGGTTCTTGTGCATGGCAGAGCCTGTAATATATGCAGAGCCTGTAATATCAAGCGTTAAATCAAAATATTCTACATCTTTACACTTTTACTTTTTTTTTTTTTTGGGGGGGGGGGGGGGGTCAGAAATTTGTGGAGGTTCATATGCCCCTAGCCCCTCCTAGCTATATGTACCTGTACATGGCTGCTATCATTATTGCGAAATATTTTTTGCGAAATATTTTTTGCTTGATTAAATGTTGAGAACGTGATCTGTCCTCATAATTGGTATCAGTTTCATACAAATATATTACATGTATGAAGTTATTGCCACTTACAATCACTTTAACAACACTTAATGATGCCATATAATCACTTGCATAATGACCAGTGCTATTAAGAACTTGTTCATGTAAAGCTACAGGTATTAACAGTGATATATTACTGTAATGCTATTTATAACAGTGATATATTAATGCAATGCTATTTTAAGTGATATATTACATGTAAACTGCAACAAAAATGCAGCCTGCATTAGGGTCTTCAAGGTATTTTCCATCAATTTTGAGCAACATTGAAGATGTACAAAGATCTATGGAAAGCAAGACAAAATCAAGAGCAAATTTGTAATGATGAAAAGACGACTATATTCAGCCATTTTGTTTTGCATGCCTTTGTCAGACAGATAAAACAATTATCCTATTTGTCCCTAATGGCAACTTAAAAACAGAAATGTAAATAAGTTGGGAAAGACAAGGAACATATACTATACACTATTCTACCCCCATAATTTTAGAAAAATACAAAACATGTATTAGAGTTTAAATCCTAGTTTGATTTGTGTTGTTCAGCAAGCTACACAGCACACATATGGCACATCATTGAAAAAAATAGGCTTGAAATCAGAAAATGATTTTTGTTGACAATTCTCGGGTAATGAGGCCCCCTCAGGTATAGGGTCTCCTGACTCGCCTACACATACCGGTACATAGAAATCCTACACAATCAATTCCTTCAGCGGTGAGCACTCTTATTTTCCACAACATCATGATACAAATGCACGCTGAAATAATGTCATACTTTGCCCAAGGGTTCAAATTAGTTCATATGCCAGATTTATACAAACGGACGACTACCCAACCTGGTAATAAGAACATCTGTTAAACTCATGTTTGGATGAAAGCATCCTGCATTATTCGCCTATTTTTGGCCGGTACTGGGAAATCCATAGGCCTTCCTGTTAAAAATCCCTGGTATCATGTCGGGCGCTAAATTGGCAACAATTTAGGACAAGAGTCACCGTGCTGCAGGTTCGACCCATTGTTCACCGGCGGCTAAACAGGATTATTTATACCCCACCATTTCCTTCAGAAACATGGTTTAATTTCCTGTCACATATGCCATTATTGTCCCTTAGAGGAAAATCAAGTAAACTTCACGGAGCAATGACTTTAAATAATATCTTCAGGTATTCCTCTTAATCTTCTCTCTTGTAAAATAATAACAACAAAAAAATCGTCAATATTGATTTTAAGAGGCAGCCATGTACACTACGACATCATCTGTTTTGAGTCATATGATTTTACACAGAGTGAACACCCTTCTGGCTTCAAACAGATGATATTTTCATGAGAAAAATTGTACAAGCATTGCCAATTCACAACTTCACAACCGTGTATGACTAAGGCCTTCATACATGTACGAGCTAGTCCAGCGCAATGCATTATGCACTAAGTGCCATTATACATTTAGGGAGTTTATCTAGAATTCATTTGGAGTCAGGCATGTTTGCAATAACATTGTGTTGCCACAGAGAGACTAGCTGAGGTCAACGTAATGAGGATTGTACGACATATGCTCTGTCAACAATTGCCGCACAGTCCATTTTTCAGACATAAGTTGTTTTTCCTATAACTTCAACCATTGACCAAATACAACAAACAAAATTGTAATCCTAACCTGAAGCTGCAACTCAAAGGGTCAATTAAACCTTTCAAGTCTAAGCAGAAGTATTATATAGAAGGAACTGCAATGCCGAATTAAAATGTAGAAAGATGACAAAAAGAATGATGAAAATAAAAAAGGATTGATAAGCCAAATAAGATTGAAAAAAATAAAGAGAGGATAATAAACAAAGAGGATATATGCAGAAGAGTTTCAGAAATAAGTTAGTTAGTGGTAGATAAAATAATGTTAGAAGACAAAAATAGAACAAGAAGAGAAAAGAAGAAAGATGGTAAATAGGAAAAAGAAAGGAAACAAAACAAATGTTCAACGACATCACAGTAGAATCCACAGAGCAGATATGCATCAATCAAAGCTGCTATTTATGTAGTCCGATTAAAATCATTACTAAGATCCACATCACATACCGTGCACACACAGCATCCTGCTATCAACAACGACAGCAGGGGGTCAGAAATCTATTACATGACATTCGTGATGTCAGCAGAACGGAAGAGAGCTAGGCCTTTGCTAAAATGTTTCCATTATAATGTGAAGACCACAGTCCTATTATATATTTTTTTTAAAACAAGGCCCAAGAAGGTTGAGCTTTCGTGTTTCTTGATAAGCAAGAGTTCAGCACGATAGATGGATTTTGAGATGTATTGTACAGAAATCCTGGAAGATTTTAACATTGTATTATCTCAATTTAAGTTAATTTATCAAACTTTAGAGAAATCACACAAATTTCAAACTATATCTTATCCACATTCAATATTGGCAAAGCTATCTATTTGTGCTTTATGAATAGTGCAATGCAAATTAATCTGTACATAAATATTGCAATTACGTGTAAAGGGAAATATCGCAGGATCAAGCTCAGTAGTTCAAAGAGTAATTGTCTTGCATGTTTTAAAACCAATATGTCATAGTCTTGAAATTAGCTGTTGCGTTGAGTGAAACAATCCAACACCAACAAAGTAAATACAAATATAAATGATAGATGGGAAGAAGAAAAAAAAAATAATAATAAAAAAAAAAAAAAAAATAAGATATAAAAAAATAAATGAAAATTTGAAAAGTTAATGTCAATATCAAATTGGCAACTGCATGTTTAATCTCCTCTATGCAGCAGTGACCAACGACTGACCGAGAAACATAATTATGGCAAGTTAAATTTGCATTATCTGAAGAAGACGATACAGAAATATTGGGTTTCAGCAAACAGGTCACTTGAAATGTATGTCAAGTATACAAGAGGCTTGACTATTTCCCCTACACATTTCGAAAAATATATGAATATTGATGTTGACTTTGTGCTTCTACTGTTTACAAAGGTATCGAGAACATAACAAAAATATGAACACCTTTTTTGTTTTGATCACCAACATATAGGGTGGATATTAGCCCTTTTAACAAGAGCTGGTTTATAAAAGGCTCCACAATTTGTTTTAAACAGTTACAGAATGATGTTTATAAAGAAGAGAACATACACTGTAGAAGAAATCTGACCAAGCTACCAAAAAAATGCTGGGCTGATAAATATATGTAATCTGATCATTACAGGTATAGTCCAGGATACACAAAAGCCTACAAGCTAAGGTTTAAGTGGGCAAATTTAATCCACAGGTAGGGCCTACATGTATACATGTATGGAGCACAGAGTGCCATATTCCTTATTCTATACAAATTAAAAAACTACAATTTTGTAACTAAATGAACGAACAAAAATCAAGTCACCAAGATATCATTTCTCATTTAAAATTTCATAACTGAATTCATTTCATTTATATCAATTTGTAGAAGAATTACAACAATTTGTTAAAGAATAAAGAGCTTGAAACTTAGCTAAGTTGCTAAACCAATATTTTGTTCTTCACATTTCAAAGTGATTACCACAAATCTCTATATACATGTACGAATGTACATTGCTCTTTTCTTACATGCATAAACGAAGGCCTTTACTGCTAGATTGCAAAAGTAACTCTCTGAGGGGGATTATTGAAGCTGGTGCATAATGACTCTTAAATATTCAGCCAATCCCATAATGCATTAGCCCTGCTAATCAACCCTCGTTTGAACCCCTGCAAATCCCTCCTCATCCGACTCGTCTGTCATTCAACACTTAAAGTTGCCAATTAGAGTGGCTAACTGGCTATAGCCTATACAATAGGTGAGAGGCAGTGACACCGCTAACCTGTTGCTAACAAACAGTACATGCGCTATCTTATCCAATGTAAAAACAGCTTCACATCTAACCTATGATATACTGCCTGCTGAGAGCCAGAAGGGTGTTAGCTCATATAGTTTGACATACAGTTGACTCCCTTTTGATACTTAAAGATATAGACCGGTAGTGGTTACATTTTGGGGGCAAAAATATCCATTCAATATTGTTCAAATATTGCGTTCAGAGGTTCAGATGGCAATACTTCAACCTAAATTCGAAAAAAAAGCAGAAATATATGCCCAAATGTTTGATGTTGAAGTGCTTTCGCGATATCTATCCAGGCCGGATGGATATGATAATTTACAAAATAAATTAATTTGTAGGCAGTTTCCCGGCAAAATTTGTATCATCACGTATTAGTCAAAACATATTCTTTTGCATAATTGGTAATAAGAGCTTCCATTTCATTTTTTGAG